ACTTAGTGATGTCTTCAGAGAGAAAAGGCGATTCTGCTCAGACCCAGAGATTCATGCAAGTTTATACTACACGTCCCCTGGGCCATCACACACACTCTAGAGTCCTGGGAGACACGGCACAGCGTTATATAAACTGCACAGCTGGCTGCCAGGAACAGGAAGGTGAGCTGAGTCAAATATAATCGGGCCACTTCATCATTTGTGGAAACGGGGAGAGACATCTGTGTTGAGTCAAAGACTGTCAGAAGTAGCAATGGAAAGCGGGTGTGGCCACGCACCCCTGAAATTTCAGCATTCAGGAGGTGAAGGCAGGGGAGTGGCTAGCTTAGGCTATGCACGGGAAACCTGTTTCCAAAAACAGAGCAAAGACAGCAATGGGGATCCAATGAGAAAAGCTGACTTCGCGCCTCCACACTGCCTGCGGTGGACAGAAGGTTTCAGGTCACCTCCGAAGCGAAAGAACTTAAAACAGTCGGCGTTTAGACATCGGAAATTATGCCCTGACGTCCAAGGCTCTCAAATTGGGAGCCTCACGTTCCTGGGGAGGGTGGCCATGGTACTTTCAGAAAAAAAACAAAACCAAACCAAAAAACCTGCTCCCCGTAGGGAAAGATGAATCAATGGAAATATGCAAGTAACTGAGGTAGCGATTCAATTTGGAGGTAACCTCACACATCCTATGGGGGTGGGAGATGACCCAGTTAGTGAAATGTCTGATGGCAGCCAGGCTTGAGTTTGCCTTCTCAGCACGAAACAAACAACACTCATAACAACCACCACCGGGCAGCGGCAATCACCTGTGACCTCAGGGCTGGGCAGGGTGGAGACAGGCAGGTCCCAGGGCTTGCTGGAGGGCAGCTGAGCCAAAGCAAGCTCCAGGTTCAGTGAAAATAAAAATCCACCAGCATCAAAAAGGAGCAGACAATGAAACATTGGATCAGGGATGAAGAGATGGCTCATTCGGTGTCCATGCTGCCTCTAACTCCAGCTGCAGGGGATCCAACACCTTCTGGCCTCTGCACATACCCACACATATGTAACTGTCACAGAGAAGCCTCCTTAGACATTTAAGAGACCATAAGAGCTGGTGATGTAGTGTGTGTCTTCAGTCTCAGTGACTGGGGAGGTTGAGGCAAGGGAAGCAAGAATTCAAAGCCAGCCTGGGCCCACACGGCAGGATGTCACTTCAACATAAGGAAACACAAAAGACAAAACCCAGAACTAGACACTTCCATCTTACAATTATTATTTCAGAAAAAAGAGCAAGCTCCCAGATTCTAAGTAAACCAAAACAGAAGGAAAGGGGAGTTTTTATGAATTCAACGAATTAGGCCTGCCTATTTTTTTTTTTAAACAGTCTCATTATGTAGCCCAAGCTAGTCTCAAATTTTCATCTGTCTCCCAAAGCTGGGATTACAATAGTGTGTGCAACCTCACTTACCGAAATGAAAAATATTGAGTGAAATATGTTGAATAGTTAGTTTGTGTCCTTAAAGAAACAGTAACATAATCTAGCTGAGTTTACCCAGGATAACTTAATTCAATGTAGGAAAATAGATGAATGTAGTAACCTACAGCTCAATGAAGTAAAGGAAGCAGAAAATGGTATCTGATTACCAAATTAAGCTTTTTAAAGAACAGACATTTTGGAGGGCTGAAGAGCTGGCTCTGCAGTTAAGAGCATTTGCTGCCCTTTCAGAAGACCTGGGTTCAATTCCCAGCACCCACAGCATGGCTCACAACTGTCTGTAATTCCCGTTCTAGGGCATCTGACCCCCTGCTCCTGGTCTCCACAGGCATTGTACACATGCAGTACACAAACACACATTCAGGCAAACATCCATACACATAAAACAGAATAAAGAGGGCGGCGGCAGCGGCGGCGGCGGCGGCGGCGGCAGCAGCAGCAGTGGAGACGGTGGCGTATACCTTTAATCCCAGCACCTGGGAGGCAGAGCCAGGAGGATCTCTGTGAGTTCAAGGCCAGCCTGGTCTACAGAGCGAGATCCAGGACAAGCACCAAAATTACACAGAGAAACCCTGTCTCGAAAAACCAGAAAAAAAAAAAAAAGTAGAATAGAGATATTTTGTCAAAACAAAGAGTGACAATTTCTTCTTTAAGAAGACATATTAAAACCAGTCTTTTACTTTCTCTTCCCTTCCTTCCCCCTCTTGCTTTCCGCTTTCAGTCAGGATCCCCCTCACCACATCCCCGTCCAGTAGCCCTAGCTGGCCTTGAGCAGCAGAGATCTCGTGGACTCCACCTCCCCAAGTGCTGGGTCACAGGCCTGTTCCATTACACTCTTGGTGGAAAAGACTGAAAGCTCTCTCCATAAGGGGAAGATAAGGAAACCCACAAGGGCTACTGCTCTCTGCAGGAGAGGCCACAGACTGCAGAGGAAGATAAGAAAAATAAATAAAAGAGGCACAAAGATAAGGGCAGAGGATGGGACCACCAGCACCGGCTGCCGACGGAAAGCCGAAACAGAGGCCACTGTGGGAGGCTCCGGGCTCTGATGTGTAGCCCGTGTTCTAGACATCCCTGAATTAGGGTCTCAGAAACAGTGTTGATGAGGCTGGAGGATGGGCTCAGTGGTTAAGAGCTCTGGCTGCTCTCAGAGAGGGCTGAGGTTCCATTCCCAGCAGCCACATGGTGGCTCACAACCACCTGTAACTCCAGTTCCAGGGGATCCGATGCCCTCTTCTGACCTCCATAGGCACCAGGCATGCAAGTGGCAAACAGATATACATGCAGGCCAAGTACTCATATACAAAAAATAAAAATAAGTAAAAATATTTTTAAAAGAACATGTGCATTTGTGCCACATGTGTACACACGCGACCATAAACTGAGCTGACTTCCACATGTGTACACACACACATGACCATAAACTGAGCTGACTTCATTTAATCATGAGTTTTAAAACAGTCTATCTTACCTGGTGCTTTTAGCTATTTTTAAAATCTATTCACTTTGCATTTTTTTTAACTAGAAAAAAATATTAATTTTATTTTTAATTATGTGTGTGAGTCTATTTCTGAGCAATGCATATGAATAAAGGTATCCACAGAGGCCAGAGGCATGGGATTCCCTGGAGTTAGATACACAGGAAGTTGTGAGCAGTCTGAAGTGGGTGCTGGGAACTGAACCCAAGTCCCTAACCTAGAACAGTATGCCCTCGTATCTACTGAGCCGTCTGTCCAGCTGTGTGTGTGTGTGTGTGTGTGTGTGTGTGTGTGTGTGTGTGTGTGGTCTTTGGTTTGTTTCTTTGAGACAGGTTTCTCTGTGTAACAGCTCTGGCTGTCCTGGAACTCACTCTGTAGACCAGGCTGCCCTTGAAATCAGAGATCCACTGCCTCTGCCTCCTAAATGCTAAGATTAAAGGCGTGCGCCACCACGCCCAATTCCATATATAGATTTAAAGACTAATTTATTTTCATTTTATGTCTGTGCATCACATGTATGCAATGCCTACAGAAGCCAGAAGAGGTCGTCAGACCTCCGGGATTTAGAATTACATATGTTTCAAGCTGCCACGGGGGTGCTTTGACTCTGACCCTGGGTCCTCTAGAAGAGCGGTCAGTGCCCTCAATCCCTGAGCCCTCTCTCCAGCCCTGTATTTTTCAATTTTTTGAGACAGAGTCTCATACATCCTAGACTGGCTTCAAGCCCACTGTGTAGCCGAGGATGGCCTTGAACTCCTGACCCTCCTGCCTCCACTTTCAAGTGCTGGGATTACAGGCATAAATATACCACTCTCAACTGGGTAACATTGAAAAGTCCAAAGAGGGACTGTCAAGATCGCTTATCAAATAAAAGGGTCTGCTGCAAAACTTAATGATTCCTAGGACCCACGTGGCGGGTGGAAAGAACCCCCTCTACAAAGTTATCCTCTGACTGTGACACAAATACACTCACACAAATAAATGAACTCGACTTAAAAAAAATATTTGAGGGCTGGAGAGATGGCTTAGAGGTTAAGAGCACCGACTGCTCTTCCAGAGGTCCTGAGTTCAATTCCCAGCACCCACGTGGTGGCTCACAACCATCTGTAATGAGATCTGGCGCCCTCTTCTATATACATAATAAGTAAATCTTAAAAAAAAAATTTGAGCAACACTTTAAATATGACTAGTTAGTAGGAATTTATGGTAAGTATGGTCACTTAATCTAAAAGTGAATGTCTTTTGGTTAAGTAAAAATCTCCCCTCACGATGTCAAGAATATGCATTTTAGTACATAAAGTAATTTTAAAAATAGCCATATATCCCTCCATCCTAATCGAGATATTTCCCCACTCAAGGGATCGTGAACTCATCTGGCAGAAGCGAACAGCACCATGAAAAGGCACAGCTTTTCCAGAGAAAAGCAGACCGCGATGCCCAAATGGCCCTGGGCACCATGAATGAATGCCACTATTTAACGGCATAATTGTGTTTACACTATCTTGATGACTTTCATTAAAAAGAAAATGGGGCTTCTAGGGAAAAAACACACACACTGGCCTGGGAAGACAAGGGCTCACTTTATGTCTGAGTCATGGAGAGGAAAGCTCCGCAGACTTCCAAATGCCTCTCTCACCCCGGCCTCCTGGGTATCAGCCCAAACGAATCCCTGACACAGCTGGGCAGAGGGTCAGCCTTTCTGGAGGCCTGGAGCTGCCGGGTTCTCCCACACGGACTGGGACAGCGGCTCGGCTCCTTGGACACGGAACTCGGCCTTTGACGAGCCACTAAAGAACGTGGCCTCCCGAGCCACTCCTCTCGTGACGTGTCCGGGTCTCCCCACGATCACGGTGGTGGCCAAGCAAACCACCTCAGGTCTGGTTTTTCCTCCAGTGTGGACGGTCATGCTGTCCCCATGGCGATGACACAAAATGAAACCCTTCTTCCATCAAGTACCCTCTTGTGGTTACATCAGAAAGAGGAAGCTGAGGCCAGGCCTCCTCAGCGGCAGCCTAGGAAGCACGCTCCAGGGAAGTGAGACTGAGTCCCCTCACCTTTTCCACGTCGGCCTTGGTCACGTTGATGTCAGCATCCATCTTCTCGAAGTACTGCTGCGCACGGTCAGCCTCCTTGCAGTCCCGTTCGAAACGCCTCTTACTCTGCAGACAGAGCACAGCCAGGCAGGTGGTCATCCACCCGCCCTGCCACCTCTGGAGAGACCCCCACGGGCATTCTCCCCAGGACCCATCCACCATGCGGCATCCTTTCCAGAAGTAATTTCAGCATCTGTCCACATTAGAGTGACACCCTCTCTGTTCTCTGCATAGGATTTACCTGCCTCTACTCAAGCACTTTATGAGTGTATGTACCTGTTTTTGTGCATGTGTGAGTGTGTGTGTGTGTGTGTGCATGAAGAGGTCAGAGGTCAATGTGGGACATCTTCCTCAATCACTCTCCACCCTGTTTTAAAGATTTATTTTCATTCTGATTGCATGTGGTTGTGCGTGCATCTGAGTGGAATGCAGACACCTACAGAGGCCAGAGACATTGATCCCTGGAATTATGGGTGGTTCTGAGCCACCCAGCATGGGTGCTGGGTCCTCAGGGAGAGGGTCAAGTGCTCTTGGATGCTGAGCCATTCTCTCTCCAGCACATACACCTTGATTTAGAAATCCGCCTCTCACTGGGTCTGTAGCTTGCTCACCAGCTGGCCAGTGAGTCCCTGAGAGTCTCTTGTCTCTGCCTCCCCAGTGCCACTGCACCCAGCTTTTTAAGCGGTGCTGGGGATCTGAACTCAGGTCCTCATGCTCCCACGGCAGATGCTTTACCCACTGAGCCGTCTCTCCTCAAGCATTTCTGGCCCAGCACTTTGCTTGCCATAACAGTTCTCTAGGAGCAAATTAAATGAAATACAAATGAGAAAAATCTAGAAAGAAGACTCCTTAGTGGTTTTTGCTTGATTTTTACTTAGTGAGTCATTCACGCCCTATTCAGACAGATGTGAGATGGTCTGGGAGATACTGGTTTAGCGGCCGGCTTCCCACGTACCGACTCCAGCTGCTTCCAGCACGTCTCAATGTGCTGCTGGGCCTTCCGTCCGTCATGGAAGTTCTGTGAAGAAAACAGAGCAGGGTCAGACCTACACTCCTCACACTAATGCAGGAGGAAAACCCTTACACCTACTTAAGCAGCTTTAAAAATTATGTTTATGTTATGTGTGGCTGTTTTCCCTGTATGGATGTATATGCATCACGTGTGTGCAGTGCCCATGGAGGCCAGAAGAGGGCGTCAGATCCCTTGGGGCTAGAGTTACAGATGATTGTGAGCCACCATGTGGATACTGGGAACCAAATCCAGATCTTCTGCAAGAGCAGCAACCGCTTTTCACTGATGGACCATCTTTCTAGCCCCTTAGTAGCCTTTAGGTACCATCTCATGGACGTGTGTCTGCCTAGTACGCGTGAGGCCTCACAAAGCAAATGAACAAACACTGAACACCTAGTCTGTGCAGCCCAGAGAAATGTAAGCATTCATGCCAGGTTTGGTGGCTCATGCCTGTAATCCAACAACTTGTGCTTGATGCAAGAGGATTTTCATGAGTTCAGGACAGACTAGAGTGAGACCCTGATCTCAAAAAACAGCCGAGGTTTAAATAATAGACAAGTTAAAGGGAAATGAAAACTAGGCTGGCCGCAAAGTTCCCTTTAAGGTTTTAGACGCAGCAATATTGAATGTGAAATTGTGTGTGGCTTGCAAAAACAACAGGCCTGCCTTACCGAGACAGGGAGCCATCACACCAGATGTGGCACACTTTGAATCCCAGCACTTGGAAGGCAGAGGCAGGAGGATGTCTGTGAGTGTGAGGCCAGCCAAGGCTGCATAGTAAGACCCTGTCTTACAAGAAAAACAGACAGCAATCGCTGGGGTCATCTTCTGAGTGGCAGTGAATTCACACGTTATATTTCCACCTCCAACGGATGAGAAGTTGTATTTCTTAGCTGTCATCCTCAACCTCTCCTGACTTAGAAACTAGCCCTGTTCCTCCGTGAATCTGCTTGCCGGATATGTCACATAATGGGCTCACACGGGCTGAGGACTTTTGTGATTGGCAGGATGTCAATTTTTTTTTTAAACTATTCACATGTAGGGTGCTTTCAAGGTCCATCCTGTTGTAGTATCTGTCTACCAACTCTTTTTTTCTGGCTGAATAATGTTCCACTGAATAGATGCACCACATTTATATATCCACTCATTGGTTAGTAGTTCAGGAGAATATGAACAGATGCTATGAACACCACTGTGAGCTTTGTGTGAACAGACATCACATCTTAGACTCTTTAAAAATGGTTGCTTTTTTTTAAAAATTAATTTTTATTCTGTGTGCATTGGTGTTTTGCCTGCATGTATGTCTGTGTGAGGGTGTCAGGTCCCCTGGAACTGAAGTTACAGACAGGTGTGAGCTGCCATGTGGGTGCTGGGAATTGAACCTGGGTCCTCTGGAAGAGCAGCCAGTGCTCTAGTCCACTTTAGAAGTGTTCTATTATTATTGTGTTTAGGTGTGCATATGATGTGTGGTGGGACTGTGGAGGCTACAGTGTGTGTGGAGGCTGGAGGACAACTTTCTAGAATTTGTTCTCTTCCCAATGCCTAGGGATGAACTGCGTGGCCTGAGCTATCTCACCAGCCCTGGGATCTGTTTAAACAGAAGGCCTCAGGGCAGGCATGTGACTGCTATTAACCTCCAAGGACCCCAGGGAGCCAGAGCCGGGCAAGCTGCAAGAAGGGGAGGAGCCGGGCTCAGTGAGGGACCCCGGTGGCTCAGGGGTCTGACTGAGCACCAGACTGTGGGTGATGTGAAGGGAACACCCCAGAATGGAGGCTGTGACCTGGTGAGTCAAGCTCTACAAACACTCTACCACAGGCCCCACCCCCAGCCACACGGGTGTCTTTTGACTGGCAGTCCAGGATCAGACCTGAATTAACAAGAAGTGTGGGTCCTCCAGGTGCCTCAGTGCATAAAAGCGCTTGCCGTCAGAAACAAAACCCAGAGTTTGACCCCGGGGTCCTACACGGTGGAAGGAGAGAACCAATCTCTCAAAGCTGTCCTCTGACCTCCTTACATGTGCCATCCGAGTGGGCACACATGTCCTGGGTCCTGGGCCCTAACTTGAAGAGAACTTATCGGGTCCCACATGGCAGGAGGAGAATCCAAATCCACAGAGCTGCACTGACCTCCACCGGCACATCATGATACACATCCCCCACACACACCCCCAACAAATAAAGTGTTTTGTTTTGTTTTGAAAGTCCAGGATGACCCTGTATTTGGCCTGCGTTTCAGAAGGAGGAAAGAAGGGGAACCACGGCATGAGGAGTGTAAATCGATCTGTAGTGTTAAGGCTGGTATTTCTACAGGATTCTAACGTCCAGTCCATTGCGGCCTGGGTCTGAGTGCTGGGAAGAGCTGGCATGAAGCCTCATGGTAAGGTGGGTGGTTAAAGCCGGGAGGCCACCAAGGATGAACGCTCTGGAAAGAGAAAATGCTACAGACTGACAAAGGAAATGGCATCTGTCACTCGGCATCCTAAAAGCACCAGTTCCCTTTAACATTCTTCCACCAGACACTAACTGGATCGGTGGACCTTGTCTGCATGGCCAGGGGCTGCGGGGCCTGTGCCCTGAAGGGCTCTGCCCTCTGGCTCTGATTAAATAAATGTGCTGCCTGCAGCTGCGCGGTCAGCTTCTGGCTTGCCCGAGTCCCTCGACCAAGGACAAGGGACATCAGCAGCTCCCACCTGGTTTCCCTGGTAAATGTCCCTCCGTGTGGACTCACAAGTGCGTCCCTCGGGAGGCCAGAGGTTAAAGTGAAGTGTCTTCCTCCATCATTCTCCACCTTAATTTTTGAGAACCTGGAGCTCACTGGTTCTGCTGGACTGGCTGGTCAGTGAGCTCCTGGGGTCTGCCCACTTCTGCTTCCCATGGCTGGGTTACAGGTGTGCCCCGCCACACTGGGATTAAGGGTGCTAGGGACCCAAACTCAGGTCCTCCCTCATGTTTATACTGCAAATGGCTAACCCACTGAGCCATCTTCGAGGCCTCTAAATGCTCCTCCAATAACCCTTCTCTTGTTAGCCGGTCTGAGGCCTGCTTCTAGACTGACAAGGTACCCTGCCTGGCAGTGACTCACAGGAAGTACCAGGTCCCCAACACCCTCCCCCAAGCCGTACCTTGAGCCGCCCCTAGTCAGACCTACAACTCATCAGAGTCTCGGGACAGTCAAGCACCAGAGAAGGCTGGGGAGGGGCCAAGGACAGCCTTTTGCCAAAACAATGATACTTTATTACAAGGTATGTGTTTTTGTCTCCAGAGGTCAGGTGTCACCATTCTGGGTTCTTCTGCAGTTAAGTTCTGACCATCCTATAAAATTTCTTAAAGATTAAAATTTTTTTATTTTAATTTTATGTGTCCAGGCATTTTGTGTGCATGTATTTTGTGTATCAATTGCATGCTTGGTACCCAAGGAGGTCAGAAGAAGGCTTTAGAACCCCCTGGACTGGGGTTATAGACAGTGTGAGCTTTCATGTGAGCAGCAGGAACCAAATCCAAGTCCTCTACAGACGCTCTTAACTGGGAAACCATCCTTCCAGCCCCATCCTTCATTTTTTTTAGTCTCTACAAACTCTAAGTCTTGTCCCTCGGGCTTCACTTTTTAATCTCACAATGGAGGGGGTGGGCGGGGGCGGGGATGACAGAGCCTGAGGCTGAGCGTAAGGGAGCTAGGGGCAGGGTTGAGGGAGAGCCAGGCAGTCTGCCGATTGCAGGGTGCAAAGAGCCCTGCTGGGGAGGACAGACAGGAAGCCATGCAGAGTTCTGAGAAAAGGAAGGAGTGCGGGACAGGAAGAAGGCGGAGGGGGGGAGGGGCGTCGTGGGGGGGGGCGAGACAGAGGCAGACCTGAAGGAAATCAGGATCCTTTCACACCGTGCCTGTCAGTGACACCTTTGGGTTCCCTAAATTCCCTCTCTGAGGCCTTCTCTCCACAGAGGACATCTGTTCCCGTTCCCAAGCAGGACAGCAGTGTCCTGCTGCACACGGAAAAGGTCTCAGTGACTCGAGATTCAAAGATGGAGCCAACAGGTGGCATACAAATGTAATCCCTGACTCCATGAGCAGAAGCAGGAAGACGGAAGTTCAAGGCCTGCCTGTGCAACTGTCTCAATATAGTAAGTAAAAAGAGGAGAAGGCTGGAGATTCAGCTCAGTGCAGTGGTTCTCAACCTATAAGATGTGACCCTTTGGGGGTCAAATGACTCTTTCACAGGGGTCACAATATCAGGTATCCTACATACTAGATATTCACATTATGATTCATAACAGTAACAAAATTACAATTATGAAGTAACAATGAAATAACTTTATGGTTGGGGTCACCACAACATGAGGAACTGTATTAAAGGGCTGCAGCATTAGGAAGGTTGAGAGCCACTGGTCTCGTGGTAAAGTGCTTGCTTAACTGGGTTCAACGCCCAGCACCACCCCTTAACAATAGACACAGATAAGAATAAAATGGATAAACAGATAAGTAAAATAAAAAGGAATGGTTGAGGCTGGAGGGACAGATCAACAGTACTGCACTTGGCAGAAGACCTGAGTTCCAATCCCAGCACCCACGCCAGGGGGCTCACCACTGCCTATAACTCCAGCTGCAAAGGATCCAACACCCTCTTCTGGGCCTCTGAAGTCAGTGCACTCATGTGCACAAGACACACACAATTTAAAAGCAATAAAAATAGCCAGGCGTGACAGTGTACACCTTCAACCTAGGCAAAGGCAGGTGGATCTCTAAATTTTCAGGCTAGCCTGGGCTACATAGTGAGACCCTGCATCAATAAACAAACAAACAAATGAATATTTTTTTAATTCATATTTGGGGCTGGAAAAATGGCTCAGCAGTTAAGAGCATTGGCTGCTCTTCCAGAGGACCTGGGTTCAATTCCCAGCATCCACATGGCAGCTCACAACTGTCTATAACTCCATTCTGGAGGATCCAACACACATAGAGACATACATGCAGACAAACCATCAATGCATATAAAATAAATAAATCATTAAAA